TTGCTTTCTGTGAAGCACTTTGTGATGTTTGTGTCTGTGAAAGGTGCTATAGAAATAAAGTTTACTTTACTTTTACTTTACTTTAACAAAAGGAGTGAAAACTTCCCAGATTAATAAAAGAAAGTGTTAATCCATTTATCAAGAAGGGACGTGAATTATAAGGGAAAGAACTTGCCAGCTCTTCCTTCAATGCAATCGTTGTTACCAAACACTCTCTTTCACCACTTCAGCTGAGCATCACCACCAAGTATAGGAAGCTGTTCTTTCCTACCAATTCGATGCGAACCGTCAGTCCTGTCCCMGGGTACCGGAAGGTCAGAGCGAGGTTGAATCAYCGGTGCCGCTCGATCTCAGAGTGGGTCCCGTGCGGGTGCAGTTCGGATGCAACGAGACTGCTTGGTTAGCTCCAGCTGGAAAATCAGGAGGTCGGTTCGGGTCCATGGGGATTGAACAGAAGTTCTGGTCAGTTCGGTTCCCGAATAAATCCAGTCCTGGCACAATAAAAAGTAAACAAAAAAATAAAAAATTAAAATAAAATAAAATGTCCCCGAAGGGAATAAAAACCTGGAGACTCCTGTCCTCTCTCTCTCTCTCTTGCTGCTGTTTCGACTCTCATCTACAACTAACAAAATGTTATCTCTTGTTCTGACTGTACAAACTCCTGATTGGCTGAGACAGCCACATGGTCTAATTTTTTCAAGTTCTTAATGCTAAAACTGGTTAAACACACAGAGTGATGGATTACTTGTGAAGAAGTTAAATCAAGGCATTATCACAATGATTGAATCATGATAGAAAAATACAATGCTTCTTTCTTCTTTTTTTATCAGATGACAAACAACAGAAAACATTTGTTCATGATGTGACTATGAAACCAGCCTTTTGGTGGTGCTCTAAAACCATAAATGAGATTGTATGCAAACGTGTTTTTTGAAGCTTGCCTGGGTGGCAATATCTCAGCAGGAGACCTGGTCTCAAAGGGGGTTATAGATGGCAAACCCACTTTGGGGAGACTTTCAGTCTGGTAAATGGTGAGTCCTTTTGTAATAAATGGCCATTTTTGAGTATTTGAAAGACGTCTCACAACAGGGCTTAATCAATTGGAGGTTGCAATGTCCTGTTTATTTTAACATCTGTAGATAGTGATCAAAAGGGTTTGAGGGTAATGAAGGAAGTCATTGTTCTCTGTAGACATGGGGATGAGTAATCATTGATTCAAGTTCTTATGTGGAACTGTTCCCAAGTTCCTGCTACATGTGTAACTTGAAAATCATCGTCACCCTCATAAGCCTGCAGGCGTCTCTGGCCCTCATCATAAAACAGCTTCAAAATRCCAAGTTCTACACAACGTTTGTCTTTACGTTTTTGTCCGCACCTACCTTGTTTCTGTTCCGCTTTACAAGCAGACAATAGGACTTATATTGTTTCAATAACCGTTGGATTAAACGTTCCTTGTTCTGGCGACGGTTGGTCAATATCTGGCCATCATTTATGTAACTTTTTGGATAACCTTTCAATTCCTGTAATTAAGGGATGTTTTTGTTGAATGACATCTACCGGAGTAAGTCCGGGTGAAACCTTTGACTCTGTTTTAGGCATGTTATTTTATTTTCTATATGCAGTTCTCTGGCAACGACTGGGAACAGAAGGGAAACAAAATAACTATACTTTGCAGACTCTGCTGGAAACAAAACAACTGAGACTTACTTGTATTATAATGTTTAAGTGTATCAAGGATTCTTCTGTTATGTATCAAAAAATCAATAGACAACAGAGCAACCCAGCAGCTGTTAGCCATGAAAAATGCACAAGTCCGTTGCTAAATCATAACCTTCACTTATGTGTGTGTATGAGTGTATGAGTTTACAGCTTTGGTGACATTTTGGGCAGCGTTGTAATGGAAGTCAATAGAGTGCCCCCAATCAGATAGCTGTGCAAACTTGTGTGTGTGTGTGTGTGTGTGACAGCAGAAATTTTATCCCCTCGATGGAGTGCAGCTGTGAGAGAAAAGAAGAGCAACTGGAAGTGCTAAGAATGTGTATGTGTGTGTGTGTGTGCGTGCGTGTGTTTGGGACGGCTAAGAATGTGTGTGTGTGTGTGTGTGTGTGTGTGTGTGTGTGTGTGTGTGTGTGTGTGTGTGTGT